TCTAAAAGGTATGCTGAAGTCCTAAACCCTGCACTTGTGAATGTGATCTTGTTTGGGGGAACAGGGTCTTTCTTTGAAGATATTACCAGTTAAATCAGACCCGAGTAGGGTGGGTTCTAGTCCTAATCTTTTCTGGCTGGTGTCTTATAAAAACATGAACCAGAAACTAGGAAAAAGTCACACACAAAAGAAAACAGATACCATGTAACTATGAAGGTGGTTGCATCTACAAGCAGCAAAGGAACACTAAGCATTGTAAGCAGCCACCTCAAACTAGGAGGCATGGAGCAAGCAGTTCCTCTGTCAAAGCCCTCAGAAGGAATCAATATGGCTTATACCTTGATTTAGACTCCTGATTGGTTTAATCTCCTGACCTGGGAGAAAAGAAATTTCTGTTCTATGAAGCTATTCACTTTGTGGTATTTTGTTACAGTACCCCTAGGAAAGATCAAACACTAGAACTTTCAGTATGGATTACACTTCAACACAAAGAAAACAAAAATCCTCACAACTGGGCCAATAAGCAACATCATGATAAATGGAAAAAAAAAAAAAAAAAATTGAAGTTGTTGTAGTTCAGTTTGTGTGTCTACTTGGCTAGGCCTGGTTGACTGGCTGGGCAGCTAGATGTAGTATTCCCCATGATGAGACCAGTGATCAACTCCATGGTGCAATCTATGAGCAGCTGAGTAGCTGCCTTATGGAATGTGGTCTGCTTCCTGTATAAAAGCAGAAGCCTTGGGGAATGGTCTCTAGCTTTATGGCACACTTGGACCCTGCACGTAGCCGTGTCATTGTTCAGCAGTCTGCCATGCTCCGCCGACCTTGGGATTTACAATGGACTTGAGTTAATGGCCTCCCATGTGGTTTGGTAACATTGGGACTGTGCCTTTTTACTTGTCAACCTTGGGCTTAGCAGCCTCAGTAGCCAGCAGCTGTCTGAGTGAAAAGCCTTTAGCTTCAGTGGGCCGGGAGCTGGAGGCAGAGCTGAAGCACAAGGCTGAGGGGCTTCCACCCAGCCCCTAGAGCTTGGCACTTTGAACTTGGACTTAAATCCTCCAAATTGTAAGAATAAACTCCTGTTTGTTTAAGCCATCCCATTTGTGGTAATTCTTGTCAGAGCAGTACTACGTAACCAGAACAGTTGTCAAAAACTGGTATGGCTTAACTAAAAAAAAGTGTTTACCTATTTCCCCTTTTTTAAAATTTCTACTAGCAGAGGAGACTGAAATCACAAAATGACAAGCCTGATATCAAGGACTGGTCCCCCCATGAAGCATGACCAAAGTATGAGAAGTGAAGTTGCATCTGCTCACACAAAATATATCAGGAGGGACCAGTCCCTGGAAAAGGACATCATGCTTGGTAAAGGGTCAGCAAAAAAAGAGGAAGACTTTCAACAAGATGGACTGACACAGTGGGTCCAACAATGCACTCAAACATAGCAATGATTGTGTGAATGGTGCAGGACTGTGTAGCATTGCTTTCTATTGTACACAGGGTCACTGTGACTTGAAACCAACCTGACAGCACCTAACGACAACAAGGAAACTAAGACATCCAGCTTCAATAATTTCAATATGTGACTACTCTTGCTTCATCTACTCCTTTAACCCACTTCTTTCCCCTTATCCCAGATTATTTTGAAGTAAATCCAGAATATCATATAGTTTCACCATAAATACATGACTTTTAATAATGGCTCTTGGATTGGATCTTACATCAGCATCATGGGGGAAAAAAAAACAAAACTGGTATGGCTTAACTAAAAAAAGTGATTATCTGTTTCTCCTTTTCTAAAATTTCTACTAGCAGAGGAGACTGACATCACAAAATGACAAGCATGATATCCCTCTCCAAGGACTGGTCCCCCTGTGACAGCATGACCAAAATATGAGAGACGAAGTCGCATCTGCTCAAGCAGAATATACAGTTCAGTTCTCAATGCAAACCTAATTTAAAAAAAAAAAAAAAAACCAGCTAGGTTAAGGTAATCTACTGATAAGGCTATTAAATAATCCATAGTCCCGGTATTTCTCTTCTTCAATTTACTTAAATTCACAGCCAGCTCTCAGACATAGCATTGCTACACCCAGCCCTAAAGAACAGAAAATGGTATTAAACATCATGCTCATAAGACTTTCTGAACCCTAGATTTTCTTAGTGTCTATGGATGGTTCCTGCATGTACTTCATAAAAAACAACCAACCAACCAAGTAGATTTGCTTAGAGGGGCTTTCAAACTTCCATTTACCATTTGTATGCCAGAATTATTCAGGGTAACTGATTCAAAGTCAAGGCAGCTGGAAATGTTAAAGTGCAAAATCTTTTGATCTAAAAAGACTGAGCAGCTGAGAGAATAGTCTAGCTATATCCCATTAACTTCAGGGGACAAAATATCTTTAAAAGAGGAAAAAGAAAAAAAAAAAAAAAGGCAGAAGGAAACATGCTTTCTTCTCTGTGGTTCAGATACTTAAAAATTAAACTCAAAATTAATCAGAAATAGAATGACTCATGACAAATATTAATTCAAGTTCTCCTTGTAATTCTTTGCCTCCTCAGCAAAAAAAAAAAAAAAAGGAAAATAGTAAGTTTCTATTTCATTTATACATACAATTTCAAATTTCATGTATTTATGCTTCTGGAGAAAACCATTTCAAAGTACCACTGGAACTGATTCCAGTACTAAAACAAATTTTTTTTTTTTTTTGCTAATTTTCATATTATTTAGTATTAAAAAAGTAAGTTTTAACATTGCTCATGTCTTATAATTTTAAAAGTATATTTATTATTATTTATAGATTCAGGGAGTTCTTAAACATATCAGAATACTACTTCAAAATATGTACTTCTTACAATAGCAAGTACTAATAGAGCAGGTTGGAGACAAAAATGTGAAACAGACAAATAAGCTGGATATGCCTAGTCCTCTCATGATGTTTCTTTCTCTCTCTCTTGAACTTATTCTTTTGGGGGGTATTCCTTTCCTCAGATATCCAAGATCCTTGTGCTACCCTTTTAAAAACATGCTCATATGAAAAACAAAAGTGAAATTCATAAGCGTACACAAACAAAACTAACAACTTGAAGCATATTTGCATCTTAACGACATTAAATTTAAAGGAATAACAAGCATGGAGATTTTACTATCTGGTAGTAGGTAGAAGACTGATTTCACTGGTGCCTTTGAAATCTCAGGAGCTCTGGTGGCATAGTGCCTAAGGCATATGACTGCTAACCAGAAGGCTGGCAGTTCAAACCCACCAGCCACTCCTCAGAAGAAAGGCTGGGCAATCTACCTCTGTGGTGATACTGCCTCAGAAACCCAAGGAGGGGTCACTATGAGTCGGATGTGACTCAACGGCAGTGAGTTTGGTTTTGGTTTTTGAAATCTCATGTTAAAAATAGTCACATATTCACCCTATAGTTTAGGCCTGCACCAAAGATAAGCAAATACACATAAAGTAAACCTACCAATTAGGGCTGTCGCTCTAAGATTTGCATTTTAAGATTCAATTTTTTTTAGCAATGACACTTTCAACGGTAAAACTACCTCCAAACTAATATATGTATCTGTTACTAATAATGGTGTCCTCTGCGTTTTATCTACAAAAATCACTCAAAGAAAACAAAGTGTAACACAAGATCAATGCTTCAAAACAAAAAAGGTCCCGAAATAAATTAGGAAGAGGCTAAACCAGAAGAGGTGATTAAAACTGGCTGTTTTTGTTATTCATAATTGATGTTTTCTTAAACATCAATTTATTCAAAGTTCAATTTTAGTAATTAAAATCATACAAACTGGTTACTGTTGTTAAGTGTACCTGGTTGATTTTATGAGTATGTTTGATTGGGAAGCACTATGAAGAGTCACAGAGTAAGAGGGGAGAAAAATCATGTACAGCACAGTTTGTGAACATTCAGAAGTTATTAAATGTCCTCAATCTTAATTTAAAAATCCTGAATTCATTGAAGCAAATAATTTTCTAAATTCTACCACTAGAATTATGTTAAATATAGAGAATTTTGCTAGTTTTAATCAAAATGTTAGTATTTCTACTTTCATACTGAAAAAAGAATTTTTTGAAACGTAACAAAGTTTAACCAAAAGCACTAATTTCTGAGCTGTTTACTAACAATCTGGTATGGAATTAACACAAATTACATTCACAGAATGGCTACATGTTTGCATACCATGCCAAACAGTGTGGAATGTCAGTCTTGCTTTTTTCTCCTATAGAGCCTAGAAAGAAAAAAGTTCTTCATTTCAAATACTGCTAGCAATGACCATGTAACAGGGTTTTGGCCAAGGTCGGCTGTCCTTCCCCACAAAAAGGTAAAGATTTGCTAAGAGAAAGCCCTTTTACCTTTCTCCTTTTTCCTCCCTGAATGTGGATAAAAGGCCCAGAGACAGTGAAGACCCCTGAACAATAACAATAAGCATAAAGATGAAGGTCCACCATGTGGAAGGTAAAAGGAGTAGGGTTCCTGAGCCACCCTATCAGGCCTGGACCACACACCTCTGCAATGCTTATTGCGTAAGATTCATAACAGCTATCACTTTAAGCTACTACAGTAGGGTTTTCTATCAGTGCAGCTGAGTGCACTTGGAACAGACATAAGTACAAAATTTTCATATAAAAGTGAGGATTAAGCATTATGAAAAGATCCTCACTAACCTCTCATATAAAAAGAACCTTAAGACAAGCTTGTATTTTTGTTTTCTTCACATAAAGATAATAAATACCCCATCAGCAATATAAAGAAGAAAGGAGTTGGTGGTGGTTTATGTTTCCAACTATAAAAAAAGTGACAGAGATCTGAAACTGCAGATTCCAATGCTAAATAAAAGTGAGATAAAACTAGGGGAGGAAAAAGGGCATGAGTGTAATACTTAATTATTATAAAGGTTTTATCTGCTATGTGTCAATTTCAACTATGAGTGAGGAAAATGAAAGTTTATTTCTTGAGCAGAGGAAATTCCAATTCAGTTTTTAAGTCTAAACCTTCAAACTTGGGAAGCTTTTCTCCAGGTCATCAGCAAGAGACTTATCAATATCATGTAGGATTTTAAGAAAGTCTTCCACCTGTGAGTCAGACAAAAAAACAAATGAATTTAAGTGGAAGAAAGGGTGGTTTAAGATATTAATTGTTAACTATAACAATGCTCTATCTGTGGTGTCTGCAGCATCCAACAGACAAGGCTGACTGATCTCCAGCTGACAATAACAGTACTTTCCAAACTCCATTGAAACACCTGAAGTGATTATCCCTTCTGCTCCTGAGCTACTACTTGAAGCACCGACTCAGTCCCTTTTAGGACCCATTATTAGAGTTTCATTACCACCTTCCTTGCTTACATGCTCCTTTACTCTCATCTGTACTTTATTTTCCTAAAAAAGTTCTTTATTTTGGAATTGTCCAACATTTGTTGGAATCGATTAGATAGCAACTAGTTTAATGGTAACAAACAGAATGTCATCTGAATTACCATAAAAACTTACTAACTATTCTTGTTTAAAAATCTTATTTTTGCTTAATATATATGTTATCTATTTCACAAAAGAGGTATAAAAATTCAGCGTTGACTCCTTTCTTTTAAAGTTAAAATTGTTACTCAGGCCAGTCTCAAGGATTAGCCATCAAGTCATCTATCCAAAAATGCATTAAGTGGTGTGAATGGTATGCACTATCTTCCTTGACAATGACCTCAAAGATCGAGCACTCACTGGCAAATATTTATTTGTAATCCTCTTAAGCTCAGCCATCTATACATTTACTTATACTCACCACATGGCTGTACAAAGGAAGAAGGTTTTGAAATGCACAAGAACACTTCTGTTTGTTTAAATGGCCTTCTGTTAGGCCCTGAGCCATAGTCTCCTAAAACCAAAAAAGATGTAATGTCATCAGAGGCAATGTCTAAAGCTGTATCAGGTGAATAAATACAAATCAGTATATACATTTCACTACCGACCCCACAGATATTTCAAATGTCCCAAACTGAACCCACCACCATTCCTCCTTTTATAACTCAAAAATGTTCTCCACTGTAGTCCTTATTTCAGTGAACAGTGCCACCACCTACTCTGCTGCACAAACCAAAAACCTGGGTCACAGCCAAGACTACTCCTCCTCTCCTAGTGCTATCCCCTCCAATCCCTAGTGTTCAATACATTCTACTGATTTCCTCGCCTAAATCTCTTATCCCATGCACTTTCTCCATTCACACTTCCATTGCTTAGGCCATTATTATTTTTCAGATTATACCTGCAGATTATCTGTAAAGGCCTGTTGGTTAGTCTCCTAGTCTCTACTCTGGACACTCTCTATTCCTTCCTATCTATTGTTCTTGGAATAATCTAACCTGATTATATCACTTACTACTTTAAAAAAACCTGTAGTAGCCCTTAATCTTATCAAGATTAAGCCCAAATTCCTGAAAATTAGCACATAAGAATTTTTATGACATACTCTTGCCATATTATCAGCACCTTCCTTCTATATATTCCCGTCACTTGACAACTAAGACATAACTATGATGTTCTCAACATAAAACAAAAGCATTGGCAAAAATCTCAATGAATACGTAAAAGATATATATTATTATCCTGTTGTTGTTCTGTGCCACCGAGTCAGACCCCACTCATAGCGACCCCTCCTTGGGTTTCCGATGCAGTATCACTATGGAAGTAGATGGCCCAACCTTCCTTCCCAAGAGTGGCTGGTAGATTTGAACTGCCAGCCTTCTGGTTAGCAGTCAAATGTGTTAAGTACTATGGTACCTAGGAGTTCATACAAGTTAATAATCCTAAAACAGGAAACATAAATACAAACATGGGGAGATGTCTAACTTTATTAATAATTAAAAAATGCAAATCAAAATAAGGTACAATTTCTCACTTACTGAACTGAACCTGCTACAAAACTTGTAACAGCCAATAATAAAGGTCAAGTAAAGCCAATGCTATCATATGTCAAAAGCATTTTGGCAACATAAAGACATTATGCCTCACTCATTTTACTTTTACAATATTGAATCCAGTAATCTAACTTGTGAAAACTTAAACTTAATAACCCCAAACTGGAAAACACAAAAATATTTTCTGAAGCGTTTTTAAAATTGAGAAAAAAACATTAGAAAGTGCCCAAACAATGCCTAATAAGGAATAAATAGGTAAAGTATGATAAATTTACTGATAGAAACATTACAGGGGCATTATAAACAATGGTTTATAAACTACATATAAATATGGAAAAGGGAAATAGGACAACTCATCAAAAGCAATTCACCAGAGTAACAAAAACCTGTCACAGTTATATTCATACATATACTTTTTCTAATATATGGATAAAAAGAGTATGCTCAAAGGGAAAACATGTTAACACTCAATAAACATATTCAGGAAATTACTTCTTAAAACAAGTTTGTGATAAATTTTGAAAATCAATTATTTGGTACATTGAACATTAAATAAACTGACTCTTAGAGAAATGTTTTTCAGTTGATCTAGAGTCAGGAAAAAAGCTTATAATGTTAAGTTAAAAAAAAAGTCTATAAAAATTATATATATACTGGGTTATATATATGTAAAAATGCCTATATAAATACTTGAAGGAAATTATACCAAACTACAACACTTGCTGGGTTAAGATTATAAACTTACGGCTGATATAGATGTTTCTCTTCTCTATTTTCCAAAATATATATACTACAGTAATATTATTTATATATATATATATATATATATGTATTTTTTTTAAATAAAAATACTACTAATAAAGCTTAAAACATCTAGTCCATACTTTCTTTTGCTGAAGAAATCAATACTTCTGTACCTTAGTCAATGTCTGAAAAATATTAGAAAGAAATTCACATGAAATATCCTTTAATATTTTCAAGTGTAAATCATCTTCCATGAAGTCAGACTTCTTAGTCTCGCCTGTGTTAGACTCTGCCGAGGTCTCTGGTTTCTTCTGACAGTGTTCCGTATTTTGTAAGACTCGAATCAGGCTGTCAATTAGAGGAAGATTTACTGTAAAAATAAATCAAAACACACAGAACTGACCAGTTAATTTTGGTTTTTCATTCATTCACTCAATGTACTTATTTAACAAATATGTACTAAACACCTACTGTGCTAACTAACCACTATATTTTTGGCACTACAAGACATAGTGGTAAACAACATCATCAAGGCCTCAGCCTTCACATGCTTACATTTTTATACTTTCAAATAAGCCAGTCAATAAAACAGATAATTTCAGACCTTTGTAAGTGCCATGAAGGAATTAAAAAACAAAAACAAAAAACAAACTCTGTCATCTAGTCAATTACAACCCCCACTGGGTTTCCAAGGCTATAAATTTTACAGAAGTGAATTGCCTCATCTTCCTCCTGCAGAAGACATTTAGCTGGTTAGCATCCAAGTGCCTTACCCACTACACCACCAGAACTCCTTATGAAAGAAATAAAAGGGGTATATAATAAGGCAGCTGAGCAGGGGACATTCTCTGAGGAGGTGACATTAAGTTGAGAGTTAAAGATAAGAAGTAGTCAGCAATGCAAAAGGCCAAAGAAAGCATTTCTGACAAAGGGAACAAGTACAAAAGCCCAAAGACGACATATTTCAGGAGGATGAAGAACAAAAAAGAGGCCTGTGTGGCTCAGGCCTAGTTAGCAAAGGGGAAGAGTAACATAAGACAAAGTTAATGAGTTAGACAAGAGCCCTATTGTGCAGGATCTTGGAGGGCATGCAAAGAAAAGAATCTGGATTTCATACTTTATCATAAAAACCTTAAACAAAGCTTGTAAAATTTTGTTTTATTAAGTTACATATAAAAATATCCAGTTGTTGTCATTAGGTGCCATCGAGTCAGCTCTGACCCATAGTGACCTTACGTACAAAAGAACAAAACACTGCCTGCTCGTGCTCAATCCCTGCAGTGTAGTAAATTACTTAGTGTGGCTTTCCTACCCATAAGTCTTTGAATTGCTATTAGCAACTGAAGAGATCCTGATTGCTAAAGTCGCCCACCTCGGTTATTTCTGTTGGGCGTGGCACAATACAATGTTCTGGGAGGTTCTCTCTCTCACGTGCTTAGAGTTCTGATGCTATGATTGGCTAGTTTGACCACTCTGCCGGGTTCAAAAGGAGGCCTCCTAGAGGCAGAATCTCTGACTGCTGGTTAAGGAAGACCTGCTCCTGAAAGAGACACGTGCTGCTAGGAAAGAGACGCAAGAGACACGCATTGCTGAGTAAGACACCAAGAGACACGCACTGCTGGGGAAGAGACTGTGAGAGACTTGGCTGAGAGACGGTGGGTTGGGGAGAGAGACTGAGCGTTTTTTCCTGAACTCGAATTGTAGCCTGTTGTTGTTGTTGTTGTTGTTATGTGCCGTCGAGTCGGCCCCGACTCATAGCGACCCCTCCTTGGGTTTCCGAGGCAGTATCACTACGGAAGTAGGATTGCCCAACCTTCCTTCCGAGGAGTGGCTGGTGGGTCTGAACCACCAGCCGTCTGGTTAGCAGGCAAGTGACTTAGCCACTATGCTACCAGAGCCTAGTGCTTCCCTAATAAACCTTATAATCTGTGAGTTCTGTGTGGCCACTGCAGTGAATTATGGAACCCAGGAGAGAGGTGGTGGGTGCTTTGGGAGGAAGGGTTGGAGAAAGGGCCGGAGGGAGGCAGCATGTCTGGCCTTGCAGTAATAGGCCTTGGGTTATTGATGGTGATTCTGTCTTCCTCCTGTGGGATTAGAGGAGGTCAGAATATGCGGCCTCCCTGTCCATTTTGCAATCCCCATGATCCTTGTTATACTTGAGCTCATCAATGTCAGGATCATCCCCTTTTTCGCTCTCGCTTTACCAAGCATAACATCCTTCTCCAGGGAATGGTCTCTTCTGACAACATGACCAACGTAGGTGAGACAAAGTCTGGCTATTCTTGCTTCCAAGGAGCACTCCAGCTGCACTTCTTCTAGGACCGACCTGTTTCGTTTTTCTGGCAGTCCATGGTATTTTCAGTATTCACAAACACCGTAATTCAAAGATATGAACTCTTCTTCAGTCTTCCTTGTTCATCATCCAGCTTCCACCTGCATGAGGCAACTGAAAATACCATAGCTTGGGTTAGACACACCTTAATCTTCAATCTTTTGTCCTTTTTTTCATGATGCTGCTTATTGGTCTAGTTGTGAGTATTTTCGTTTTCTTTTTGTTGCGGTGTAATCCATACTGCAGACTGCAGTCTTAATCTTCATCAGTAAGTGCTTTAAGTCATCTTCACTTTCAGCAAGCAAGGTTGTATTGTCTGCATACTGCAGGTTGTTAATGAGTCTTCCTCCAATCCTGATGCCATGTTTTTTTTCATACAGTCCAGCTTCTTAGATTATTTGCTCAGCATACAGACTGAATTAAGTATGGTGAAGGGATACTACCCTGACACACCCCCTTCCTGATTTTAAACCATGCCATGTCCCCTTGTTCTGTTCAAAGGGCAGCCTCTTGGTCTATGTACAGATTCCTCATGAGCACAATTAAGCGTTCTGGAATTTGACTTATTCATGGCAAATACCTTTTTTCAACAACATAAACAGTAGCTATTCACGTGGACTTCACCAGATAGAATACACTTGAATCAGATGAACTACATCTGTGGAAAGAAGTGATAGAGAAGCTCAGTATCTTCAGTCAAAACAATGTCAGGAGCTGACTGTGGAATAGACCTTCAACTGCTCATATGCAAGTTCAAGTTGAAGCTGAAGAAAATTAAACAAGTTCAGAAGAGCCAAAATATGACCTTGATTATTTCCCACCTGAATTTAGAGACCGTCTAAAGAAAAGATTTGATGCATTGAACACCAATGATCAAAAACCAGACAAATTGTGGAAAGACATCAAGAACATCATCCACAAAGAAAGCAAAAGGTCATTAAAATGACAGAAAAGAAAAAAAACAAAATGGATGTCAGAAGAGACTCTGAAACTTGCTCTTGAACATAGAGTAGCTGAAGCAAATGGAAAAAATAAAATAGAGCTGAACAGAAGATTTCAAAGGGACTAGTGGACCACACAAGACTCAGCCTACATGACCCAGAGACGAGAAGACCTAGATGGTGCCTAGCTACTACTGGCAACCACTCAGAAAAGGATCTAAACAGCAGATCCTGGACAGAGTAGGAGTAAAATGTAGAACAAAACTCAAAATCATAAGAAAGACCTGGCTTACTGCTCTGACAGAGACTGGTGGAACCTCTGAGACTATGGCCCCTAGGTACAAATCAGGCCTGGAATTGAATTCACTCCTGTGGCTTCCAGCCAAACAACAGACAGGCCTACAAGGTGAACACCTATACTAAGTAGGTACACTCCTCAGAACAATCAACCATAGGAGATTAGAAGGGCAATATTTGTACAGGGAGACAGCTCATAGGGCAGGAATGAATAGTAAAAGGACATGAAACAGGTAACCCCAGGGAGGAAGTGGGAAGAGAGTTGTTATGATATGGGGATTACAATCAATGTCACTAAACAAAATGTGTATGAACTGTTGAATAGAAAACAAATTTGCTCTATAAACTTTTACCCAAATAACAAAAAAACCAAAACCCTATGGGGGAGTTCTACTCTCTAATAGGGTCAGTATGTGTCAGAATTGAATGAACTGCACTAGGTTTGGTTTTTCTTGGTTTGTGTCCTTGGGCATTGTTTGTGGATCCAAGTAAAGACAATTTCAAGGCAAAAAAAAAAAAAAAAGAGAGAGAAAAAGAAAGGTGAACAGTCCTAATACACCAGAACCAAGCCACTGCCATCAAGGCAACTGCAACTCATAGCAACCCAATAGGGTTTCCAAGGCTTGTAAATCTTTCCGGAAGCAGAATATCATATCTTTCTCCCAAAGATCAGCTGGTAGGTTTGAACCGCTGAGCTTCTTGTTAACAGTCAAGCACTTAACCACTATGCTACCAGGGCTCCTTATGACTTCCCTTATTAGATACTAAAAAATGAAACTTTAACAATTAACATAGTGTGGGTACTGACACATGAATAAAGTAACGGAGATGAATAAAATCTATAGAGGAGTTTAGAGTATAATGAAGATGCAATTTCAAATCAGTATAGATCAAGTTGGGTTATTCATTAAGTGATGCTGAGTAAAACGAGTAGCTAGAAAAAAGTTGAAACTCACTTTTGAGACACCAGAATAAATTCCAGATGGTTCATGGATTTAATTTTAGTCTTAAAAATCATTCTACAAAAGAACATTTATTTACATAGAGAAATATTCATTTTATAATGCGAAACAAAAAAAATGAGGTAAAAAGCAGAACTTAAAAATGTATATGCATGTGTATGTATACTAACATCTCTGGATGACAGATTACAAGCATTACGTTTTCTTGATGCCCTTCATAAATTCTACAATTTTTTTAACATGTAATATTTTGTAACTAGGGAGTAAAAAAAATAAAATGGGAGAAAGTAATCATTGAACAACAAACATTAGTGTGGGCTTTAAAATCTGATAGACTAGAAGTTAATTTAGTGAACTGAAATGATACTTACCTTTTTCTATCTTTAGATACTCCTGTTTGGCCTGGGACGTATAGATGGCAGACAATACTGAAAGAATAGAGGCTAGCACAGTTTTCTGTTCTTGAAGGATGATGGGTGGATCATCAGTCTGGCAGAATTCGTGGCAGATCAGGTCAAAAAGTAAATTCCAAGTATCTCTTCCAGCATCAGGACACTGTACTTGATAAAGATAATAAAGAAGACAGTGATTTAAAAGCAGGAAATGATAAAATGAGTAACTATAGTGCATTCCCATAAACCATCTTACCAATTGCTTGAATTCCATCATCCACTGTGGTAAGTAGCTGGAAGATATGCATGTAAACATCTAGCCCTTCTAGATTTTCAGAACTACATGCAAAAAGAAAAAGCACGAATTAACAACTTTACTGTTGAGGGGAATGCAAGTATTCAATCAATAGTTCAATCAACAAATGTTTATTATCCTGTGCCAGCCACTGCCCTAGATGCTGAGGATAAAACAGGGGACAGTGCAAATTCTCTATGCTTATTAGAGCTTACATCTAATGCGGGAAACAATCAAAAAACCAAACTAGTATTATATAATAAAATCAACACATATATAAGAGGTAAAAAGCCTCACTGTTCCTGCTCCACAAAAGCAACAGCACAGAAACCTGCTATGTGATGCCTCACCATTCTGACTTACTTGAATACTTAAGATGACTGAGACTTTTGTAGTGTGAATGGATGACCAACTGCACGAAACAACAATATACCTACTCATCCCTTATCAGCTATCTCGTTATCTGACATTTTGCATTTATACCTTTGAAAAATTCTCAGCCAGTTTCTCCAATGGTCTGGGCCCCACATGTGGCCAAGACTGGGCCCAGGGTACCCTCCGTGGGCCACTTCAAAGAATATACTTGAGGCCCCTGTGACAAAGACAGGGCACAGCCCCCGCTCTCACATAACGATGATTTCACCTAATGACCTGGTCTTTGGAACCTGTTAGTGAGTGAGAAGTAGGTATAATGGTGTTCTTAAAAATTTACAGTATCATCCTAGCTTTCTAGCTGAGAACAGGAAAACCATGTAAGTACAGCAAAACCTTTGAAAGCTGGAACCTGTGTAAGGCAGAAACTTGTCAGATAAGGACAACTCAAATATTTTCTACTAAAATGAGCAATAGAAAAGTAGTAAGGCTGCACCCTGTCCAAGACCCGGAAAAACAAGACAGCCCCAGTGAGTTCTGGCTCTAACAGGTTTCACTGTATATTTCTTGTAATCAACAATTTGGATTCCTAGAAATTCACACTCAAAGTTCTTCAAAACAATTAAGGAAAAAGATATTGCAAAAGTAAAGAAAATGGTTCAGCAAATATTTACTTAAGTACCTACTATTTTCAGGCACTAAGTTAGGGGCCGGGAAAACAAAGATATCTAAGACACTGTCCCTGTCCTCATGAAGTTTATAGTCTAAAATGAAAGATCATTTAAAATGTAATTATAATAAAATGTTATGAATGTTACACTAAAGGAAGTGCAAAGTCCTAGAGGACCACATCACAAAAACTAACACAAACAACAAAAAAACCCAAACTCACTGCAGTCAAGTTGATTCGACTCATAGCAACCCCTCCTTGGATTTCCGAGGCAGTATCTCTATGGAAGTAGATTGCCCAATCTTCCATCTGAGGAGTGACTGGTGGGTTTGAACCACCAGCCTCTGGTTAACAGTCAAATGCCTTAGGCACTACGCCACCAGAGCACCACATCACAAGCAGACTTAATTTAGTTCAGATGGCCAGGGAAAATATCTTAAGAAAAATTTTATCTATGTAGACATGTCAATGGGCAAAATGGTGTTTAAGGTAGAGGAAATACACCGAGAAAAGGCTTGAAGATAAGAGAGTTTGACTCATTTGAAAACACAAAGGAAAATTCATATGGCTGAAGAAACAGAGTTTAATAGAATAGAGAGGCACTGTGCAGAATTTATAAGCCATGTTTAGAAAAAACAACAAAACTGCACTTCACCCTAAAGGAAAGCAAATGATGAATTTTACACATGAAAGTGAGGTAACTGTGTGCTTTGGAAAGACCTCCAGCAGCCTAGCCTTATAAAGGCCAAGCATAGAAGCAGGGAGTTCCGGTAAAAGAATGTTACAGTTGTATATGTGAAAGACAAAACTGGCCAGCCTGGATGGGATACCAGAAAAAGTCAAGAATAAGGATTGGAGGTTGACTTGCTGTGGCAAAAGAGTGGGATGGGGAAGAGAAGTGGCTTTCACATTTCATTCACACTATCTAAGTGGATAATGAATGTATCATTTACATAGACAGGAATACTGAAGATGCAGCAGGTTTGGAGAAAAAGAAAGTGAGTTTAATCCACACATGAATTAAGGACTGAAAATTAATAGGGTTTACTGTAGTTTATTAAGCATTAAAAATGCACTAGTCACCATTAAACAGGTAAATGCATAAAATTCTCTAAGTTGATTAGTGGTAAATAGTTTCATGACCTAAAAGATCAAGTAGTCACTCTGTGCAAGATATTAGAGCCCCAAAATCAGTCACTTATCTATGGGCATGTATACACAAGGAGCAAAAAAACAAATGATGTCTGGTGTTAATTAAGAAGCTGTCAAATGTTCAATGTAAAATGAAGTACAAGAAAACCATTTTTGTTTGATATAAATTACACAAAATTATAGATGATTTTAAGACAGTAAACACAATCATAATGAATAATTAGCCTAAATGATAGAGTAAATACATTGTCAGTACAAATTCAGTAATCCTAGCAAACATGGATGTGTACCATTTATCTTGTCAAAAAGAAACTTTTCTGAGAATACGTCGAACAACTGGATTTTCCTAAACACTCTGCATAAAAGGGCTCACCTACCGTACTTGTTTGGCGGCTTCAAGTACAGAAGGCACAATCCTAAATACTGGTCGCTCTTCAGAATCTTGCTGTGGTTGTTCCAGAGGCTGAGATGCCCTATTTCTAATCCATTCCAACATTAGTTTCTCATCCAAATCAAAGAGTTTATCTACAACCTCCCCAACCTTCACCAGCAAGTCAACTGCACAGAATAAAACAGATATTGAAATGAATACAAAACATTAAAAAGCAGTATGTTGTTGCTGTTGTTAGGTGCCATTGGGTTGTTGCTGACTCATAGCAACCCTATGTACAACAGAACAAAACACTGCCCAGTCCTAAGGCAGCTTCATGATCCTCACTATATCTGAGCCCACCACTGTAGCCACTGCATCAACTCATCTTGTTGAGGGCCATCCCCTTTTTTGCTGACCTTCCACTTTACCAAGCATGAAGTCCTTCTCCAGGGAATGGTCCCTTCTAACAATATGACCAAAGTAGATGAGATGAAGTCTGGTCATTCTCCCTTCCAAGGAGCATTCCAACTGCACTTCTTCCAGGACAGATTTGTTAGTCCTTTTAGCAGTCCATGTTACTCTAGGCATTCTTCTTCAACACCACAACTCAAAAGCATCAACTCTTCTTCAGTCTTCCTTATTCACTGTCCATCTCTTTCAGGCATATGAGGCAACTGAAAATACCATGGCTTGAGTTAGGCGTATCTTAGTCTTCAAGGAGACATCTTTGCTCTTCAGCACTTTAAGAGGTCTTTTGCAACAGATTTGCCCAATGTAATACGTCATCTGATGTCTTGACTGCTGCTTCCATTGATGTTGATGTAGAACTAAGTAATATGATGTTTTTGACAACTTCAATATTTTCTCCATTTATTGTGAGGCTGCTTATTGGTCCAGTTGTGAGGATGTTTTTTCTTTATATTGAGGTGTAATCCATACTGCAGACTGTAGTCTTCAATCTTCATCAGTTGAGTGCTTCAAGTCATCCTCCTTTTAGCAAACAAAGTTGTGTTGTCTATGTATCACAGGTTGTTAATGAGTCTTCCCCCAATCCTGATGCCATGTTCTTCTTCATATACTCCAGCTTCTCAGATTATTTGCTCAACATACAGATTGAACAAGTATGGTGAAAGGATACAACCCTGACATACTCACTTCCTAATTTTAAACTTTGCAGTATCCCCTTGTCCTGTTCGAATGACAGCCTTCTGGTCTATGTACAGGTTCTTCATGAGGACAATTAAGTGTTTTGGAATTCCCATTCTTCTCAATGTTATCCATAATTTGTTACAATCCACACAATCAAATGCTTTTGTATAGTCAACAAAACATAAGTAAACACCTTTCTGGTATTCTTTGCTTTCAGCCAAGATCCATCTGACATCAGCAATGATATTCCTTGTTCCATGTCTTCTTCTGAATCCAGCTTACATTTCTGGAAGTTCTTTGTCAGAGTATACTGCTGCAACCATTTCTGAATTATCTTCAGTAAGATTTCACCTGCGTGTGCTATTAAATGATATTGTTCTGTAGTTTCCACATTCTGTGGGATCACCTTTCTTTGGAATGGGTACAAACATAGATCTCTTCTAGTCAGTTGGCCAGGTAGCTGTCTTTCAATTCTCTTGGCATAGCCAAATGAGTGCCTCGAGTGTGGCAACTGTTTGTTGAAACATCTCAATGGGTATTCTGTCAATTCCTGGAGGCTTGTTTTTTGCCAATTCCTTCAGTGCAGCTTCAACTTCTTCCTTCAGTACCATTGGTTCTTGATCATATGCCACCTGCTGAAATGGATGATCATTGACCAATTATTTTTGGTACAACGACTCTGTGTACTCCTTCCATCTTTTTTTGATGTTTCCTGCATCATTCAATACATTATTCATAGAATCTTTCAATATTGCAACTCAAGGCTTAAATTTTTTCTTCAGCTCTTTCAGCTTGAGAAATGCCGAATGTGTTCTTCACTTTTGGTTTTCTAACTCCAGGTTTTGCACATTTCGTTATAATAACGGACTTTGTCTTCTTGAGCTGCTTTTTGAAATCTTCTGTTAAGCTCTTTATCTTGTCATTTCTTCCATTTGCTTCAGCTACTCTCTGTTCAAGGGCAAGTTTCAGAGTCTCTTCTAACATCCATTTTGGTCTTTTCTCCCTTTCCTGTCTTTTTAATGACATTTTGCTTTCTTCATGATGTTCTTGATGTCATCCCACAATTCCTCTGGTTTTTGGTCACTGGTATTCAATGCATCAAATCTGGTCTTTAGATGGTCTCTAAATTCAGGAGGGATATAATCAAGGTCATATTTTGGTTCTCATGGACTTCTTTTAACTGTCTTTAGCGTCAATTTGAACTTGCATATGAGCAGTTGATGGCCTGTTCCACAATCAGGTCCTGGCCTTGTTTTAGCTGAAGATACTGAGCTTCTCCATTCCTTCTTGGCACAGATGTAGTCAATCTGATTTCTGTGTTCTCCATCTGGTGAAGTCCCCACGTACAGCTGTCATTTGTGTTGTTGAAAAAGGGTATTTCCAATGAGTAAGTCATTGATCTTACAAAATTCCATCATATGACCTCCAGCGTTAGTTCTATCACCAAGGCTTTACTTTTCAACTACTGGTGATTCTTTTTTGTTTCTAACTTTTGCATTCCGATTACCAGTACCACATCTTGATGGCATGTTTGGTCAATTTCAGACTGCAGAAGTTGATAAAAATCTTTAATTTCCTCATCTTTGGCTTTGGTAGTTGGTGCATAAATTTGAATAATTGTAGTATTAACTGGTCTTCCTTGTAGGCATATGGATATTATCCTATCACTGACAGCATCATATTTCAGGATAGATCTTGAAACATTCTTTGTGATAATGAATG